CGTCTTCCCTAATTTAGTCCGCATCTATCATGCTTTTAATTATCAAGTCTATCATGAAGTACTTTTGACATTCGCAAATTATCTTATCTGTCACGATATCATTGTGTTTTTATACACTTTCTCGAAGAATTGATTTTGAATTGATAAAATTTCCATGGTTTCCATACAATATTCAACAAAATATTCTCAAAAACGTCATGGCACTGAATTATTGATTCCTGAAACGTCTAAAAGTATATGCAGTGACGGGCAAGTAAAATCCCATAAATCCGCCTGAACTGTTCGATTTCGGAAGGCCCGCGATCTATTGTTCATGGATAATAAATAATTTGGTAAATGCGTGTACATGTGTCGGGACGAACGAAAATTCCATTAGTTTTCACTAAAAAAGTTTTTGTGGAATACTGGATGGTTGTGTGACACTAAGTGCTGGCTAAAGCCAAAATAGCATCAATGTGGTCTAGTCCCGAGAGGAACGTTATAATGAAGCTATGTTCCGACCACCATTGTTCGTGTTATATCTTTGTTCTGTGAACCTGTGTTGGCGTTTTCTGCAAAAACGCGGCTTCATTCTCCGGGATATTGGAGGGTAGTAGGAATTGTCTCAAACTCTTGACAGCGGCTTTTTACATTGACATGAGTAAGGCTAGTGTCCGAATACTTACCGTTAACTGTAGGTCTTTAATTAAGGTCCTACACACAGGCAGCACCTCTACGTTATTTAACTTGTGACTGCTTGAAATTATCCGTACGATATTGTCACGTAATTAATATATTCTTCTTAAACCATAACGGACTGCTTTGTGTTAAAAGACTCGACGAATCGCAAAAGTATAATTTTGAGACTTGCTTACAACGTAGACTTTGAACACTTTGTCTTAGATCGAAACAAAAGATGGATGAGTTTACTAGAATTAGGAAAGGAGAGAAAGACATGAAATATTTTTCGTGGAAAAATAATAATGATAAAATTACTCACAAGGAATGTTTAGAGAGCAAGCTGCTGAAAAAACATCAAGAGTAGTTTTATCTATCATTTTTTAATTTTTAAACTCATATACAAATTAGATTTATATCGGTTAGTGATAAAATTTCAGTAATTCGTTCAAATGTTGGAAACTTAGAAAACGTGACAACTTTGAACAATTTTCAAGGCGCATGTATCTTGTTCTTTCGTTCCTGAAAGTGTATTTTATAATATACAGCGGTGTAAAATTACTGACAGTCAATAATGACAATGTAAACAATTTTCACGGGACTGATATCTCCTAAGCAAAATATCAAGGTATTTGTGCACTGTCAAGGTATTTATACACCTTATGGGTTTTATATAGCTTCTTAATCTTAGTTTCCGATTTACTAAGGTTATATATTAAAAGAATTGTATCTGTGTTCAGTTAACATTTAAAAATCATACAAAGCTTGCCTGCATATTTAATACATTATATTATAAGAGATACAGTGCTTTACAAGTTATTACAGCCTGCCTTTTTTGAAAATGACTTCATTCAAGTTCCTTAGTCAGTCATTGTTTTAAGTAATGATAGATTTAGTATTAGGCGGGAGTTGTAAATAGCATAATCGTGGTATTTCGTTGTTTCTGATTTCGGAAATTTGAGTATGTCGGCTTCAAATGGTGAAACAGCTACAACTCAAGCCGATAAAAATGTGGAAATGTGGAGAATAAAGAAACTCATAAAAAGCCTGGAAGCCGCTCGGGGGTTTGTAAATTCTTATTGTTGATTCGTTCAATTGTAGAAATGGGACTAGCATGATATCTCTTATAATTCCACCAAAAGATCAAATTACACGAGTAGCGAAGATGCTGGCTGAAGAATATGGCACAGCTTCAAATATCAAGAGTCGTGTCAACCGACTTTCTGTTCTAAGTGCCATCACGTCCGTTCAACAACGTCTAAAGTTATACAATAAAGGTGAGGTATATCTTATTGTTATTGCGTAGTACCACCAAACGGGCTCGTTGTTTATTGTGGCACCATCATCACGGAAGATGGTAAAGAAAAGAAGGTTAATATTGACTTTGAACCTTTTCGTCCCGTGAATACCTCTCTCTATTTGTGTGATAACAAATTCCACACTGAGGTATTTTGTGGTTAGCTTTATTTGGTGTCTAGGCTTTGAACGCGTTGCTTACCGATGATAGCAAATTCGGTTTTATTATTATGGATGGTAGTGGCTCTCTATTTGGCACTCTTTCTGGGAACACTCGTGAGGTTCTCCACAAGTTCAGTGTTGAGCTCCCCAAGAAGCACGGTAGAGGTGGTCAATCAGCCCTTCGTTTCGCCCGCTTGCGTGTCGAAAAGCGCCACAATTATGTTAGAAAAGTTGCTGAAACTGCGGTTCAACTGTTCATTACTAATGATAAAGTAAACGTCGAGGGTATTATTCTTGCCGGTCTGGCTGATTTTAAAACCGACCTCTCCCAGTCGGGGATGTTTGACCCTGTAAGTTATTCGTATCATATTTTGACGTAGTTATATAGCGATTACAAGCCAAGGTGCTAAAAGTTGTTGATATATCTTATGGCGGAGAGAGCGGATTTAACCAGGCTATTGAGCTTGCTAGTGACACATTGGCTGGAGTTAAGTTTATTCAAGAAAAGAAGTTAATTCAACGCTACTTTGACGAGATCTCTCAGGTAACCCTGGTATATATTAACCTACTGTTTAATAGGACACAGGGAAGTATTGCTTCGGTGTGGATGATACGCTAAAGGCTCTCGAAATGGGTGCCGTAGATTCTTTAATAGTGTGGGAAAACCTGTCAGTTACTCGCTATGTGCTTCGCTCTTCATCAAGCGATGGTAATTCCACGATTTTTACTTAACAAATGTGTATCGGGTTGTACATGTGTATCTTAAAAGGCATTTATTCGACATGCTTCTTACCCATTGCATCCAGGATCGTTAAATGTTGAAATAGGTTTAGCAAAGGTCGCTCCAATTTACACTAAAATCCAATTTCGCCTACTTTTTTGAGTGCTAAATATGTAAAAGTTGCTACTACAACTTTTACACGCCTCCGCTTCTCAAGCTGGTCTATGTCGGCGCCATCCAATCTGTCACATCGAAATCGTTTTTTACACACGTCCAAACAACTTGCAATCGAAAGATCATGAGTAAATGAAGCTTCTTCACAGTTTATATGAAATCGTCTTCTGTTTGGTTAATACTGTAGAAGTCCTGACACAGCCGTCGTGTACGTAATCTATTCTTAACATGGCTGACCCAGTTTTAACACATCGATATCATTAATTTTGTTATGTGGCTTTTATTCACAGACGTATTTTATGTGTTCAATTTTGTGGAATATTTATTTGCATGACCTCTATTGGCGTCTATTTGTACGATTCCATAAAATATGCTTTAGTTCGAGCTTTTGTTCTAGCTATTTTTTAGATCTTGCGATGGTGGGTATCTAAGCTAGACGCCCATTTACTTGGGCAATCATGCAACTATTCATTGAGTTGAAATAGCTTTTCGGGTGACATTTCGTCTCGAATATTCCTTGTCATAAATTGGAATGCGTGAATAGTTCTTTAGTAAATCTTTTATGCTTAAATAAGTGTCGGCAAAAATAAGTTCAAAACATTAAATCGAACACAATGTACCCACTTTGGTTTTGAGAAATAAACCTGTCTCCGGAACTGGTGTATCAGCACGTACAGAAGTAGAACTTGGGCCTAGTGCACAAACTTTATAATGGTACCAAACTTCGTGTTCTGTTGCTAAATAGATGCTGTTGAGGTTTTACCAGTAAAAACTGATCACCATTTATCTGCTCGATTTTTTTAAACAGTTTTAGTGTTGTAATTTGTACTAAACTTTAATTGTCAACCGAAGCTTCATTATTTGGATAACCTATGATGTAGAATATCAGACCTCTAACGTATAGAACGATATAGTTATCTAGTCTGTTCTGCAATTCCCTATGCCTGGACTGCTGTAATTATAATGGCAACCGAAATGTGTGTTTGGTTTACGAAAGACGTGATGGCAAAATTAAGCGCGCTTCAAATACTTTTGCAAATCACCTTAAATTTCTACAGAAAAGCGCATTATCCATCTGCGGCCGGATCAGGAACGGGATCGCAGCCACTTCATCGATCCGGATACGCAAACTGAAATGGAGGTTGAAGAGAGCCAGCTCCTCCTTGATTGGCTTGCCCTTAACTATCGCTCATTTGGCGCCGTTCTCGAAATTGTCACTGACAAATCACACGAGGGGTCTCAATTTGTTCGAGGATTTGGCGGAATCGGAGGTATGTACTGACTTCTCATTTGTTCCTGGTTTTGATGCTTGCGTTGACTATTGTAAATCTCAACATTGTTTCGATTCGGCTTATTATGATACTTTGGTAAATGAATTGTCATACGATCGTTGTCGTGTTTCCTAATTTCCCTCGTATTGTTTCATGGAAATTGTTGCACTTCGTATAATGATTGAAGGCATTCTCTATGCTCTTTCCATTCCCATGACAAGGTAATACATAGTTGTCCACTCAGATTGTAAATACGGTCGTATCCAAATGGATTCCGTGCAATCCATTAACCTATTTCTAACCTTGTCCTTAGTTAGAGTTAGGTAGACTGTCTAGAATCAATAAATCTGCTTTCAAACCTTCGTGGTTATTACGATCAAATGGGAATGACCATTTGCAGGAGAGTGAGAATTAAATACCTTTACAATCGTGCATTATTCTGCCGTTATTTTATCCGAATTTTCACAAATCATTCTGTTCATGAGCTTCAAGCCTCTTCTGTTTGTGTTCGTAGTGTAGTAACATCTGTCACCTCAGGTAGTTCTTCAGAAACAAAGTGACTACGCACTAAATCCTCCTCTTTGTGTATCACTACTTGAGATTTCGTATAAGCCTTTTCATTTGCCAACCCTGCTTGTGTGATTATGCTTTTTTACTATTGATAAGGTTAAAAATTTATATACTGAAAGTATGTCAGACTGTGCAGCCTTGTTAAACAAACATTAAAGACGTATGTAGACACGAACCTCTCTTGTCCAGGAAGATTTACTGTGCCTAGACCAATTTTTCGATTCCAATCTCACTAATTTTACCGGCAGCTAATTATTGGCGAAGTTGTCTCATTAATTTTTTTGAAGTAGTTTGATATTTAATTTTAATTGTAGGAATTCTCCGTTATCAAGTTGACTTCCAACACATGGCTGGCGGAGATCTCGATTATGACGAGGACTTTGACCTCAGTGACTACTAAACCCTTTTGTTCCCGTGTACACAAATGTCCCTCCCCCTCTCGTCGATCCGATTCGTTTACCCACATTTGGGTAGACGCCTGCGCAGTTCGTCCTCAATCTGATACCGTCTTTCCTGCCTCCCTCTATCAAAATCCCCACAGTACTTGTTCTTGTTTCCTAACAATCACCTTTCTCTTGTGTCATAACA